CTTTTGAGTATACTAGAATCTAGCGAATTATTCTACTTAATTCGGGAAAATAAGATTATCGTGTGTATTCTAGATTTTACAGGAATAGATTTAGGGATATATCCTTTTTCACTTATTATTGGCGTAGTGGCGTGCCATGGAAATTTGGCGGGTTGACCCTCGTATAATAATGACAGTATATGTCAAATTCCAGACAGTTTTAAGTGTGGTTTACATAATTTCGTAAGTGCCGCGGTATTAAAATTGTCTGGCCTATCTGGCAAATCAAATTTGACAAATTTTTCAATAATGCTATATTATAAACGGTACCTACCTAACTATTTTGCGTACCTGCAAAATCTAATGACATTTTTTAAAATTCGGCATCACAGATTAACAGATATATTTGAGGTAGGTATAACTTAAATGTAGATGTGAAGCCATTTCTTACCCAACCAACATTTTCCTTAAATTTTAGGTGGGAACCAGGACTACTCAAAGAATTTTGACTGGACAATATACAAACAAAAAACCTTTAGGCCGACCGAAAAAGACAGAGACTATTATGGACCGAATGTTTAAAAAAGATTTACAACGACAAAGGACATGGCACTAAATATTAGAATCCTGGTGATCGGTCGATTTTTTTGAAACTGCAGTATGGTATTCTATACCTGAAAACAAGCATTTCTGCTTATGGTCACTTCTTTGTACGAGTATGGGATGTCCCAGAAAATTGAGTTCAAAGTTTTTATATGAAATTTTTTCTTCAAGCATAAACTTATGTTTAACCGTTGTTTAACTGATCTGTTATGTGATTTTGCAACTTATACATTATAGACAAAGCTATTTATGTAGTTAAGGACAAAAATTATTATACAGGGTGTCTCAAAAATTATATTTTAAACCAAACTACTCTCTAAAGAAAGCCAATAACCAAAACAACTGCTAAAAAACTATAATAACATAAAATATCAATAATAACTACAAACATTATAACAATGATCACCAGAGACTGTTTGAAGTAGCTGCTGTTCCTTGGAAACGATTTGGATTTAATACTGTAGAAATAGGTCAACAAATACAAAAATATGCCATATAGGCCCGCAGTATCACAATTGATGGTAACCTTGTGGTAACCTGCACTGGCTATCGGACTCATATTTACGGGTTGACTACATGGAATATTCTGAAGCTTGACCAAAGGTTTCGGCTAAACCGATACATCAAACATTTAATATAAAAACTTTGAACTCATTTTTTTTAACCGTAATTTTGGTTATTGGCTTTCTTTAGAGTGTAGTTTGGTTTAAAATAAAATTGTTGAGACACCCTGTATAATAATTTTAGTTCTTAACTACATATATATCTTTGACTTTAATGTATAAGTTGCAAAAACAGATTAGATAAACATAGTTTATGCTTCAAACAAAATCTTCCATATAAAAACTTTGGACTTAATTTTCTCGGACATCCCATACTCATACAAAGAAGTGACCATAAGCAAAAATGCTTGTTTTCAGGTATAGAATAACATACTGCAGTTTTAAAAAATCGACCGATCACCAGTATTCTAATATTTAGTGCCATGTCCTTTGGAAATACAATTCTAAAAATGAATATTTTACATTACAAACATTACTGACAAAATTTGGAATTTAAGGGAGGGCAAACAAGTTTATATAAAATTTTAAAATCTATGGGATATAAATTTAAATTAGTAAATGGACGCAAAATTTTATGTGGGCAGAAACATGTTCTTGCTGCCAAAATTACATTTTTGCGGAAATACCTGCAATATAAACATTCAAACGAAAATATCAGATTCGTGTATTTAGATGAAACTTGGATCTACCAAAACGGATCTCAAGTTCGTCGATGGATACACGAATCTGATAAGAAAAGCAACCCATCCAAAATTAAGTCAGAGGGGAAACGTTTTACTATTTTGCATGCGGGGAGTAGTTCTGGGTTTTTAGATGGGTGCGATTTTTTTCTAGATTCAAGAAACAATGATAGAGACTACCACAATACCATGAACGCGGACATCTTCCAAAAATGGGCCGTTGATCAACTAATTCCTGCATTGAATTTATTTTAAGGGAAATGTGTAATAATCATGGACAACGCTCCATATCATTCAGAGCAGAAGGATAAACCACCTTCATTCTCTTCAAAAAAAGACAAAATGCAGGAATGGTTGGTTAAACATAACGTAGACTTCGACACAAAAATGACCAAAAAACAACTATGGGACCTTACTCAACCATAGGGTTTCATCGAGACGAGACGGGAATAATAGCCATTATTGCGAGTAGTATACTCTACTTTATTTAAATTACGACAAATTAATTTATTTCAAATTTTCTTTCCAAAAACGCTCTTTGTTCATCCATCTCAATACACAAGCACTACGCGTTTGACACTGACACTTTTGGTACTACTTATTTAATTTGAGAAATTTTGTGATTGGTGTGCAAGCAGTGGCGGTTCGTCCATATGGGCAAGGTGGGCACCGCCACCCTGGAGAAAAAATGGAAAAATAAAAAATGCTTTCAATACAATATTTGGAAAGGCCGCGACCTTAAAAATCTAAAAAAAGTTCGCCTACGGCCGTTTTTTATTTTTGTCGCCCACCCTTACTTGGACACCACGAGCCGCCACTGTGTGCAAGTGGGAATAATGACCATTAATCCCTGCGGGAATAATATATGGCATTATACTGCCAAAGTCACAAATATAATTAATACTTATTATATGTCAGTCGTAAATAAAATATATTATATATATATTATATGTAACATTAATCTGCACTAAAAGAAATGGGAAATTTTTTTCTATTAAAAAAATTACGTTAAAATACAGAGGTATATGCTACAAAAAAAAAACACCGATTATTGGCCCATAAATAAAAAACATATTTTTCCAAAAAGTGAAAATTTAACACATCCTTTGAATTTTTGACTATGAAACAAAGAAATATTAACGGGTGTATTATTACATTATACACCTAGGGACTAAAGTGGTACTTTTAATCCCGAGACAAAAAGTTATAATAATCAAGGGAAAAATCACGATGCCCAAAAGAAAATACATAATAATATTGAAGAAAATACATTTTTTTTTTGTTTTATTTTCCTCACAAAGGAAATAATTGTTCTGGAAAAGTGAATGACCTTGAAAGGACCCTGCCCAAAGTATACGGAAAATGTGTTTATGTCAGAATCGGCTGAATTTTGTACATAATGTAGATCACGCCTTTCTGATTGAAAGTTACCATTGCACCAATCCTGAAAAATGACGCCTTTTTGAGAAAATTAATTTCATAGGTAGCAAGTAAAACGCTTGGACATTGTGATGGACGTTCAATGTATCACGAATAGGTGTAGAATAAGTAAGCTTGTGGTGCAGTGGTGTGCTACGTAGAGTCATTTTTCAGGATTGGTGCAATGGTAACTTTTAATCAGAAAGGCGTGATCTACATTATATACAAAATTCAGCCAATTCTGACATAAACACAAATTCCGTATACTTTGGACAGGGTCCTTTGCAAAAAATTTCGCCTGCGACGCGTTAACGAGGATCGCATCTTCCCATTACCCCATTACCCCCCCCAGACTACAAGTCACGCGTCGCCACTGTGTTATGCTATCTATACTTTTCTTATGTTTTGTTATTTTTTGGGTGTTTGAAGTCAATTTTTGTTCAATAATTCAAGGGTCTTTTTTTCTTTAAGAATATTATATGGAAATATTAATTTTTTGCTCTTTTTATTTGCTTTGTTATCTTTGTTTTTTTTTAAGGTTTCGTTAATCTTCTCATGTTTAAAATGAATTAAAATTATTTCGTATCCCTAACATTTATTTTCGCTTTTCTGACCTATTAAGAGTTATCTGTGCTTTAGGTATTGCAGCACCTACATTTTTTCGAGATCGAGAAATCTCGAAAAAATTTCTCGATCTCGAAAAATCTCGAACTGTTTTTCTCGATCTCGTCTCGAAAAAAAAAATCAGTCTCGTCTCGATCTCGTCTCGAAATCGAGACGAGACGAGACGAGAAATCTCGAATTTCGAGAATCTCGTGAAACCCTACTCAACCATTTCGGAATAGACCAAAACAATACAAAATTGACGACATTTTGAAAAGCCACGGACACGAAGTTCTTAGATTACCTCCTTATCATTGCCAATATAATCCTATTGAAATGGCATGGGGGTTTTGTAAGAACTTCTCTAATAAAACTATAACTTTGCAGCCACCATCCACGGATAGGGTTGCGAGGGTATGGCGTGAGTCTCTTTCAAAATGTACCTCAGACATGTGGACGAATTTTTGTAGACATTGTGACAGACTTATTTCAGAAGACTGGACAAAATACATGGGAGACTTACCTTTCAAAAATATTCCTCCTTTCATTATTTCTCTTGGAGAATCCGATTCCGAATCGGATTCAGAAATGTTGTCTGAATCTGAGGAGGTATCTAATTCTTCAAGTGAAATGGTGGAAGCTGAATAAGACGGACTAAAAACTGATCTGAATTTGAACTATTACTTTGACAAAACTATAAGGGGAGGGTGGATAGGATCCAAACTCCGCTTCGCGTCGTTCGTATAACTGTGTTTGCGTGCGGAAAAGTAACACTTTGCGCACTTGTTAGGAAAATAACTATTTCCTACAGCCGTGCAGAAAAATCGATTTTCCGCACTGATATGCGTGCGGAAAATGAGTTTTCCCGCACGGTGCTGTAAAACTTTTTTTTTTGACATATCAGTGCGGAAAAAGTTTTTCCGCACGGCTGTCAGTGCTGTCAGTGCGGTGAACGGCAGCCGCGTGCGGAAAAATTCATTTTCCGCACTTGTTACGTAAATAAGTTAGGCAGTTTTTCTCAGGAAATAGAACAATATTTATAGGGAAAACTTTATTTCAAAAAAAATTAATTAAGTACTTGCTGTTCACAAAAAAAAAAAATAGTAACGAAATTACAGGATAATAATGAGAATAGGCATGGCCTCAAAGAGTTTTAGTTTTCATCTTCATCAGAACTATTTTGCTCGTCTCCGCGACTTGACGAGACTGGTAGATTCGCATAATAATGGTGAAATACAGGATCTATCAGGTGTAGAATGCTTAAGAGATCTTTCTTTTTTTCCTCAGAAATGGGAAGTAATTTCGAGTACTGACGCGGAGCGTCCAAAACTGGATTTACTTGACGTCTTCGTAAAAAGGACATCTTTTTAAACAGTTCCGAAGCATCTATGGATGTTTTGTAATCAATTATACCAATCTGGTCAGCTGTGAATCTCATCCACTGCACATCATGCCATACAAATTTTTCATTGTCACAGTTTTTACTTTTAATCTGCAGTTTTTGGGAATAAAATGATTTGAAGTCCAAAAAATTTTCTTGTTGCATTTCTGTAACTAAGAACTTATTTTTTGTTCCAACAGTGCGAATGAGTTGAGCCCAGTCCCAAGGGTGATGGATCCTCATATCCGTTCGTTTTTTCTTCTTCTCAATCATGACATTAGCTGTATCGCATTCCATATGAGAATGACCACTAACCATAAATTTGTGGTCAATTGATTTCAAATTTGGGTTTTTCTGTAAGGCTGAAAAGCACATGGCGGCTATATGAGAATTCCGATTCTGACCCGTGCAGGTATCCGAGTACATGACCACTTGCGTTACTTCCGGAGGTAATTCTGTTAAATATTTAAATAAACAAGATCCGATTTGATTTGCACCTCGACCAGCTTTTGTTTCATCCCATAGGAAATTGTTGGCAATCCCTTCGACCCCATCATAAATCGTCAAATTATATACAGATAGCTGACGTTTATAAAATATAACATTCGTTTGAATATGTGGAGTTGCTAGTACTTGCTGAAGATCAAATGAAATTGTTTTCATTGATTTGTCGATTTTTGCGTTCTCCTTATCGTTGGACTTAGCCAGATAATGTTTGTCAGCCATGTCTTTATGTTTATCCCACTCAGTCTGTATTGCCTTCTGATCTTCTGTACTAGCAAGTTTAAACTGTAAAGAGAACGTATCACAGGTATTGCATGTATCATTATGGGGCAATTTGAATGACAAATTCATTTCATTGAAAAGTTGCCTATAAATGCCATATGACACTGGATTTGAGTGATTTTCTTTGTAGAGCGAATACATCAACCTTATGTTTAAATTTGCTGCAAGGTAATCTATATCCGTATGTCTTCGACTATAGTGACTCTTGTAGCGAGGAAATGAGTTGATATGTGCAAAAACTTCATTTTTTCTCTCTTCTGATGTTTTTGAAGGAGGAGGATGGGCTCCTCTCTGATCTGTTTGGGCAATACCGGCTGTATTGTCGGTTCTTGACATGAGCATATATTTTATGAATCCGTCAGTAACGTCGAATGTTTTTTGGAAACAACTTTTGCATATGACCTGCATTTGACCATTTATTTTCAGGTGATATACATAGGTAAGTGTTCGATTTCGAATCGATTGACCTTCATGTCGCAATCTTTGAGTTGCTTTTGATTGTGAAGTAACAAGTCCACTCAGGTAGTCTGATCTTCTATCTCGACTCTTCATTGCCCAAAATGAATCAAACAGCTCCTTTCTCACAGCATAATCGAACTTATTTTTGCATTTCATTCTGCATTGTTGTAACTCTTCCGCGCACTTCTTCTCCGGAACAATTTTTCCCTTTTCAGTTACATAGGCTTTTCCCAAGTTTCTTTTATCTTTTCTATCTTTTCTTATTTTTCTTGATCGCCTACATGGTACATCGTATTGCAGCTTTTCCTGCGTTACAGTACTGCTATTTTCAGAATCTTGCCTCAAAACTTTAATTTTTTTTTTTGGGATAGCCTGTTCTGGATTGGATTCATTATCAGATTCCGAAGTTAGTAAAAAATCTGGATCATTAAAAGTATCATCGCCAGCGAAGGGATCTTCTTCTTGTTCTTCTCCTTCTTCATCGTGAGAAAATGCACTTACCGCAGCTCCATCTTTTTCTTGAAAAAAAAAGACATATCAATTTAAAATAGCAAAATCATTCACTAGACATACCACAGGATTCATTGCCACCATCAGTGGTCTGAATGTCTATAGCCGTACAAGAATTATCTATAAATAATCCCAAATTGTCTGCTTTGTTTGACTGAGTAGTGGGTTCTGTGAGGAGGCCTTGAGAATAATCTCATGAATATTGATGACGATTACGATCTCTAAAACACTTATCACAATTGACAGGAATATTATTATATTCAAGGCCAGTGTCTGCAGCGAATATTTCTGGATCAATGTCCATTTGCATTCCACTTCTTTCTATTAACTCTCCAGATTCAAACTCTGTCACTTCTATAAGAATTACCAGTGGATATAATAAAGAATAACACGAATACAGTAGGTACCTATGGTGTATATAGAATATTTTAGTAAACTCACCATAATGAACTGGAAAATCATCGACAGGTCGAATTGAAAATGATGCAGGTGATGGTAGGTCACTACTTGGTTCTCCAGTTATATGATTTCCAATTGATCCAGAATCATCTGCAGAGATTAATTTGTTAACGTTCGCAGTATGTATGAATACCTAACCTTCAAATGGGTATTTTTAAAAGCCAGAGAGCTGCACTTACCTCCTTTATGACCAATTGCTAGAGCAAGTATCTTTTTGCTTCTTGAAGACATTATTATTACATATTAGGCGAAAACAACACTATTAAACACGCAAAAATCCACTACTAAACAAGAAAAGACCTGCTCAAAATCGCGCCAACGGAATATTAACACGTTTTCTTATGGATAAAAGTGACTAACTAGACTTATTTATTATAAAATTTATATCTAATAACGCGAATAACTTCTTATGTCGACTTATGTATGTAGTATTTTGATTTAAACATGGGATGAACTAACTAAGTTGACATAGTTTAATTTACCCAGATTGATTCTGATTATTTTTAAAAGAGAAATTGAGCTCAAGTACACTTAAGGATATTTTACTGCATCAATTTATGAGTGAATTATCCAAAGTATTGTTATGACTTTCAACTCTAACATAATTTAACTTAAGCAGTTTCTCTCAACCAAGATTTTATCATTACGGCTAACGATGGACTTAAGAGGTTTTACGCACCCAAAAAGCAAAGGGTCTGGAGTAGTTTACAGCCAAAAGCTCAAATTACCAAAAATATGACTTAAGCACTTTTACCCTGAAACCACAGAGCTATTGTCATCAAATGTCATTATTATACGAGGACGAGGGTCAACCTGTCAAATTTCCATGGCACGCCACTACGCCAATAATAAGTGAAAAGCATATAAAAGCGGCTATTGCTTTGTATAGAATTTTTAATATCCATTTAGAAGTACCTGTCGTTTTAGTGACAAAACGTATGTCGCCTCTTGACACACAAATAAAAGTAGGTTAGGAATTTCCTATTTGTACATGAAATTGACGTATTAGCAATCGACATTCGTTTTTGTTGGTAATTTTTTGTTTCATCTGTTTCATGATTGATAAATAAGGATGAGGTTATTCTAAATGGGTACTACAAATACTATAGTTTAGTTTTAGTTTGACTGTGATACGATTTAAAAAATAGTGATTATTGCGAGTTGTAAAAGTTTAATTGTTGAGTTTGTTATTAAAGTAATTAGTGTCAGAGTGTATTGTTGTTTTTAGATTAAGAAACTCTGACAAGAGCATATCTTTGTTGCTTTTAAATGTTCAATCTGTTCGTAACAAAGTTGATAATATGTTTGTTGTTTTGGAGGGCTTGGGTTTTCCTAACATTGTTTTGTTGACGGAGCATTGGCTTAGGCCTGATCAACCACTGTATATTCCGGGTTATTTTGTTGTTTCGAAGTTCTGTAGAGAGAACTCCTTGCATGGTGGTACCGTTGCCTTGGTAGATGAATGTATTTTTGATAGTTTCTGTGATTTTGATAATCTTGACATCTTGCTTGTTGAAATGCAATTTGAATTTTCTATTATTCATTCCGAAAAATTAAGATGTTTTATTGTTTGTATCTATAGATCCCCAAATTGTAATTTAAGCGTCTTTCTGGAAAGACTTGAATTTCTATTGTACAAGTTTCCTATAAATAATACGGTTATACTTGCTGGTGACCTTAACATTGATTTTGACGACACAGCAGATAATAGATCTACCATCAATTTGTTAAACTTGTTTGAATCTTTTAATCTTAACATGCATGTTCATGAGTCTACGCGCATTACTGAAACTTCGTCCACTAAAATAGACTACATTGTCTCGAATATAAATGATAACGTATCTGGCACCGTGTTTGATCCTGACCTTTCCGACCATAAAGCTATTTTAGCTACCATTCCTATCAATTACGCTTGCAACAATGATACTACAAACTTGGGAAGAATTTACAGCACCAGCAATTTTCAAAAATTTCGACAATCTTGTGAGTCATTTGAATGGGATTCTATTTTCAGACAGCCAGAGCCTTTGGGTGCTTTTCATAACGCTCTGGCAAACAAGGTCAGCAAAGCGTTCCCTTTTCGCCGCATAGAGCCAAAGCGCAAAGAGAGGAAAAAGTGGCTAACACCGCAGGAATACGTACTTCTGCCTTCAATCTAAGATTCCTTAACAGCCTTAGGAGGGCTTACTCTGATTATACAACTCACTTTACATTATTCCCATGTGACACGAGAGGCTTAATAAGTGATAAGCTTTTTGGGATACCTAATCGCGCTTGGTGGCATTTATAGCAAATTTTATTATAGAAATTTTTTTAAATTTTAAAGTAATGCAAACCTCTTAAATAAATATTACTGCTCAGTTGCTGATAATTTGACCAAAGACTTACCATTCAATACAGATCCACTCATTTATCTGTCAAACATCAACACCCCCGAACATTTTCATGCGTTCCACCCAACTACCCCTCACGAAATTCTAAAAACAATTAGCTCCATGAAAAATAAAAAAGCTGCAACTGATGATGGTATTTCATTGATTATTCCACTCATGTGTTAGAAATCCCATAAGACAAGTGACGATTTTCAGAATTACAGCGAAAATTCTCTTTTCCATTTGTTTAACTAGAGAGAATTACAGCGATAATTCTCCCATGTTATTGTATACATGGTTGTCATGCTAATTTTTGATACAAACAAACGGTTCCTGATAGCAACCATTTATTTATATTGATTGTTAAGATGTTCAAATCGTTTAATACATATTTATTTCCATATTTTTTGCATTCTCATAAGTGAAATAATCCTCTAAATACCACTTGAGCTTTAAAATGAACCAGATAATTTTTCACCCATGCGTGTTTTCTCTGCAAATTTCACTCGTCCTACGGACTCGTGAAATTATAGAAAATACGCAATCGTGAAAAATTATCGGTAATTTTGAAGCTCTCGTGGTATTATCCCCGAAAATTCTGGAGAGCCTTCCCAACAGAGCCATCGCTACTTTATCTGATGTATTCAATTTTTCTTTTGTGACAGGTACCTTTTCATCGTCTTTTAAAATTGCTAAAGTCCTCCCTCTATACAAAGGTGGCGATCACGCCTCTCCCTCTAAGTATCGACCAATTTCTTTATTATCAACGCTGTCAGAACTTATTGAGAGTCTGGTAAAGTCTCGTCTCATGTCATTCTTAGACGAAAACAATATTACATATAACCAAAGATCAATTCGGATTTCAGGCAAAAGAAAAATACTTCTGACGCTATGTTTCAGTTTCTCTCGAGAGTTTTCCAGTCCATCAACGAGCGTGAGGCTTTGGCGGCGGTATTTTGTGATTTATCTAAGGCATTCGACTGCGTAAGTCATGAGGTATTGCTGCGGAAGCTTTACGCCTATGGTGTCCGTGGAGGGGCCTTGGAGTGGTTTAGGGGCTACTTGCGTTGCCGTGAGCAATTCGTTCACGTGGATGGGGTGTCATCTAGCGGACAACGTAGCTCATGCGGCGTTCCCCAAGGATTTGTACTGGGACCCGTTCTATTCTTAATTTATATAAATGATTTAACCCAACTTGAAATCTCTGGGCTCACGTTGTTTGCTGATGACACAACCATTCCCTGGCGCAACAGGGACTTAAATCAACTACAACAGGAAATTGAATCCGATCTTAAGCAGAGCAGACGGTGGTGTGATGCAAATCGTATGTGCCTAAACATGTCGAAAACTAATCTGATTGGTTTCAACTGTGCTCTTCGGGACCCTGATATGGGCGACAACTCCATCTCAATTGTGGATAATTCCAAATTTTTGGGGCTCATAATCGATGAAAATCTTAAATTTTATCCTCGCATTCTGAAACTAAATAATAGCCTCTGGCTGTTTTTCGGTGAGAACTACCTTCCAAGAACTGGGTAAGGAAGTAGCATGCAATGTTTATTTTGCTCTTGTCGAGTCACATATTAGATATGCACTACCCTTTTGGGGAGCCTGTGCACAAAATCTTTCAGTCTGTCTTTATTCTCCAAAAGCGAGCAGTTCGGAATTTATGCAATACCCATCAAAGAACACACTGTAGGCATCTCTTCATCCAAAATGGCATTCTAACTCTACCCTCCCTTTTCAGCCTGGAAACAGCATGCTTAATTTATAAAAATAAGTATAGCCTTCCAAGGCATCAGCTAGTACATCGTACATCAAACCAGTCAAAACAATAATATCCTTTTATTCTTTCGCGAATGGTAAATTATCATTTTCTCGACCTAAAACTCATTTTCAAAGTAACACTTTATCGGAAATAGTGAAATCGAACAATTTTTACCCATTCATATGTCAATTTTACCCACTCATATGTCAATTTTACCCACTTATACGTCAATTTTGCCCACTCAATACTTGATGGTCATTTATTTCGGAACTAATTAAAACATGATAGGTACTTTGCTTATTTCGGTACATTTACAAAATATTGCCTTCACAAAAAGATAGGTGTCATCCGAAGCTTCTCTCGAAAAAACAAGAATATCTTCTCGTTTAAATTCCTTTATAATAATTATTATACAGTGTTGGAGACAGAAATCTGTCGAGTTATGATTGATAACACCAGAAATGTATCAGTTTGTTTGTCAACTTTTCATAATGTAGGTAAAATCTGTTTTTTTTTTTTAAAGATAAAAGTCAAAATGACATTATGTTGGCAATACAATGTAAAATTGTCAATGCTTTCAAATTCAAAAAAAAGGCTTGTGTTGCCAACATAGTTACTAAATTTTTGACTTGCGGAATTATCTCTAAAAAAAAGACAGACTTTAAATATGTAGAATTTTAGTAATTGTAATGAATAAAAAGTTGTTCAAGAATAAAATAGAATATTACACACGATGGTAAAAAAGCTTTACCTGTTCGTGAAATTAATCCACTCGCTCCTTCGTCGCTCGTGAATCAACATTTTCCACTCACAGGTAAAGCATCTTTTTACCGTCTTGTATAATAATAGTTATTTATTGAAACTCCTATATGTATATGAGGAGGTTTCGTAGAAATCTTTTAATAGCGATTTAATTGACCAATAGGTTAGTGTTCTCACATCGGTTAGTAGTTTGTTGACAAAATTTAGATATGAACTTGTTTTTTGACTTTGTGAGGGTGTAAGAGATAGAAGCAGATGGAGATTGATGGTAGCGCAATTATAACCCTTTTCTAGATACACCCTGTAGTGCTCAACACTCAACATGCCCT